AGAGAGAGAGAGAGAGAGAGAGAGAGAGAGATTCAGAGAGGGAGAGTTGTTGTTGTTGTTGTTGTTGTTGCTGCTGTTGTTGTTGTTGTTGTTGCTTTTGCCGTTGTCACCGTTAATCTCAAGGCTGATTGTCTCAAATCTACGTATAGTATATGACTAATAACCTATAGGCCCTTAAAAACAACAACAACAGGTCCCTATTTCTCCTTCTTTCAACAAAGGTAGAATAACATTCATGCATGAACATAATTTGAAAGAGAAATTAAAGTGAAATACCGGGTACTGATGGTACTTTTTTTCTTTTATGACTTTGTCAATATAGAGTGCTCTTGCTTAATGAGAACTGAGTCATTACCATTGCCCCTGTAGGTTCCAGAAGTTCCAAGAGAAATACGGAAACATGGACGCCGAGAAGGAAAATCTTCAAGGTCAGAGGATGTTTTTTTTTTCTTCTAATTTTTAAATTTCATTCTTCCTTTCTTTCTTTTTTTCTTTCTTTCTTCTTTCTTTTTTTCTTTCTTTCTTTCTTTCTTTCTTTCTTTCTTTCTTTCTTTCTTTCTTTCTTTTCTTTCTTTCTTTTCTTTCTTTTCTTTCTTTCTTTCTTTCTTTTTCTTGAGGAAAGATGATTAATTTCTTTTTTTCTTTCTTTCTTCCTTTCCTTTCTTTCTTTCCTTTCTTTCTTTCCTTTCTTTCTTTCCTTTCTTTCTTTCTGTTTATCTATTTTTTTCTTGAGGAAAGATGATTAATGTATAACATAATAATACAGTCAAACCTGTTCAAGATAATCACTAATTGTCGAGGTAAAAAAAAATGGTCATCCCAGACACCTGGTCCTCTTGGCCAGTGTCATTTTATTATCGTATATGTAAATAGAAAAAGTGCATGGAGAGTAGGAAGTGGTCGTTTGTACAGATGACTGTCTTGGACAGGTGGTCGTTAGAGCAGGTTCGACTGTATCATCATATCGCAATCACTGTCATGTCCCTTTTCCCTGGCAGGTACGGGCTGGTTCACGGAAGATCCTTACGAGATCACGAGCAAGTTCGGTGGTCAGTGGAAGACGGTGGACTTCTCCGCTGGTGATGTGCTCATCTTTGGCATGAGGTATGTATCAATCATAGTCACATGATCAATTTAACGTACATGTATGATGTGCTCATCTTTGGCATGAGGTATGTGTCAATCATAGTCACATGATCAATTTAACGTACATGTATGATGTGCTCATCTTTGGCATGAGGTATGTGTCAATCAAAGTCGCATGATCAGTTTAACGTACATGTATGATGTGCTCATCTTTGGCATGAGGTATGTGT